ATTAAGAATTTAATTTATTAAAATATTTTAATGAAAAACGCTCTCTATAATCATCACATATAGTGTATGCATATACCTACATATATATATATGCAATTATTATAGTAAAGAAAAATTTGTATGTATGACTAAAATAATTATGTCGCATAAAATATTCAAAAATTAAAATTTCTATAGGTTTTTCAATATTAACCATTTTAAAGCCTCACCTTTTCCTCATATTTTATTTGTTTTCATTTTTATTTTGTTTAAACCTTAAGGTGTTAAAAATGGCAACTAATTCGTACATCCAATCTTAAAATATTTAAAATTTTATGTAAATTGTTTAATTGAATTTGTTAACAAGAAAAAATTTAACATAAAATTTAAAGATTTCTCAATTCGTTATAGCTTGTAGCCTGAAATAGAGATTTGAATTGGAAAATGCCACAAATTCGTTCTATGTTTCACACTATTCACACAAAATTATTGAATTATTTATGATGAGCACTTGAAATTTTGCTTTAATGGTAATTAATAAATTTTATCACTAAAATTATGTATATAGAAATTAAGTGAAAATAATGTAGAAAATTTTTTATTATAAAATTTAATTTCTCTCATAATTAATTATTTTTAGGGTCATATAAGATTCTTATCAAATTTACTCCTGTCTACATATTTTAAAATAAAATATTCAATTGTTTTTAAATTAAAGAAAATTTTTATAAAAATTTATTTTACGTGTTATTATTTTTATTTTGTTCCAATTACATTTTGACTATAATAATATTATTTTTAATATATTAAAATAAAAATTTCTTATTATTTCAAAATTATTTGAATTTATGAATTTTAATGAAAATAAGTAAATATTTGCCATTAATACTTTCTTCCCAAAAATAAACTCACATAAAAATTGCTAAAGCTATGGCATGCTTGCTATATAGGCGTATGATGTATGTAAACCATTAAAAATTTAAAAATGTTTAAAAATTTACATAAAAATGTTCTTTGTCTCCATAGGAGTTTAGGACCTTCTTACGTTGACCCATAGGATATTTTGATACTTTCAATCATCAAATACATGAGAACTCAATTTAGATCCCTGAAAAAATGTAGTATAGCAGCCATCTAAGGCCGCGAAATTTCCATTAAGAAAATATTCCGGGGGTCACAAAAGCTCCTTCCGAATCATCTCAACCGTAAATGAGCTACCACTCCTCATTCACACAATAAGTGCTTTTAATTTCAAATTATATACATAAAGTGTTGCATTTATTTATAAGTTGAACAATGATCGTAAAATAAAAATTGTTTTTTTTTTTATTTTTTCTCAAATTATCAATGAAGGTATCATATAAAAGAATGTAGTAGGTATTACACAAATTTTTGTTCATTTCAGGAATTTCATTAGCCTTCTTCAACAGAAAATGTGATTCTTGTTATAAACTGTACTAGTAAAAATTCCATTGTGAATTACCAAAAACACAAAACTCAGAGTATTTCAGAATTGCAAAAAATAAGTAATACATATTTTGTTAAATCTTTGCTTTTCAAGCAGTAAGTTTCAACTACATATTTCAAGTTCGTCAAAACCTACACATTCAGGTTAAACGTAAAATTTCTCCAATAATTTATTTAATTTTAAAAAATCATTCAATTTTAGATTTCGTGTTCAAATATTCTAATTTTCATTTGTTAAAACTTCAACACCATTTCTTAATTTATACCAATTTGAAATTTATATTATTCAATTGATTTAAAAAAGTTCATTACTTTCGCTATTCCCACACATAAAACGTGTTAAAATTTTATTTTAAATTAACTTTCAAGTTTTCAAATTATTTTCATATATGCTCATGCTTTCTTCTTAAATAATTTTAACATTTTCATTTTGAATATAATATTGAATTTCTTCCCTTTGATTACTAGTTTAATTATTATATTTTACAATAAATGAAATTTATGAGAAATTTTACCTTTAAGAAATTTTCCAAGGTTAATGAATTTTCCATAAAACAATACAAAAAAAAAAAATTTATCTTCAAAGTAAATGTGTAGAAGAAATTTTTTTATATATGAAGGTATTTGTTGTAGATAATCCATAAAATAAAGAGGAAAATTCCTATGTGCTTTTTTTTAAGAATTAAAACCATTCAAGTGTAATAAAATATTTGACATTCGGTCAAAACATTTGTAGCCTAAACAAATCCATAATTATGACATAAGGATTAGATAACGTACAAATTTTCTGTAACAAACAATTTTTCAATAATGAATTTTCTCAATTTCAGAAAGTTACCAAAAAATTGATGCTATAATGATTTTCATTAGTATTTACAATCAAAAATATTATCAGTTAAATTAGGAAATATTGGGACACAAAACACCTTGATTATATTCCGGTTTAATTCAAAAGTAATTACTTGTAATATAATTGCAGCCAGAATCTACACCATTACAAATTAATTCTCTACATACTTAATAGTAAGCTCAATATTGTGTTTTATTAAACGCTGCTCTAAAAAATTTAATGATCCTTATATTTTGAATGCCTGCATTTATCTCTAATTCTATTAATATCATCTGAAATACGTTTCACAAGTTTGATTACCTCATTATAACATTCTTGTTCTCTAAAAAATTCTCTAAAACAAAGACATTTCAGTAAGCATATTATATTTGATATCCTCTACTACATAGCTAAATAGGTGCTAAGTTTACAAAATATCCAATATCAATCTCCACTAATGATATTTGGGATTATAAAAAATATTTTTAAATATTTTGTTATAAAATTTCATAGATTCCTCATAATCAATTGCTGCCCACTTTAAATGGAACTCAACAAATTTGCAATTCCTTTTGAGATAAAATTCAGGTGATATTAATTGTTGATATTTTAAAAGGAAGACTTTATCAAATTATTCTAAAATAGAAACAATTGAAAAAAAAAAAAAACAAATAATATTATAAGATTTATCTTTATCATTTTTATTACAATTCAGTAATTTTTCACTTACTAACTCTATAAATTAATTGATAAATAAACAAATATAATTTTTTTATTTTGTGATTTTGTGTTAAACATAGAATTTCTAATATTGATAAATAAAAAATAAAATTATAAACTTGTTAAATTTTAGCAAACTAAAATACGAAATGATGATTATTGTAAAGAAAATAAGAAATTATTGTGGAAATTTTTACACATATTAAATTTTGAATTAAAACTTACGATTAATAAACAATTTAACAAAAATGTTTAAAGAAAATTTTAAGGCTTTCATATCTAGTAATACAATTTTTATTATTTAATGCCTTTTTTTTTTAATACAAAGTTATCATTCTTGGTGCTAGCTACTTTTCTAAAATATATTATTAAAACTACAATCATTTAGGTGAAATTACATAATATCAATAATCATCATTATTATTTTATTAAGAAAAGTAGTTTATTCATTTTTAAAAATTAATTTTTAAAAATGATAATTAATAATAGAGAAGTGATATTTTTTTTTTTTTTTGTAAATTAAATTAAATTTCAATAAATGTAAATATAAATATTCTAACATTTTTTATTTTCTTTTTTTATATATATATAAATTTATTTTAATATAACATAGTTACTCTTAATTTTATATAATAAAAATTTTCTGCCTTGCAGTTTCATTCACAATTTCAATAGCTCACAGATCGGTTCCAAAAATTATTATTAATATTAAATAATTATAACAATATAATAATAATAATTAATTTTTATACAAAAATTAAATGAATGGTTTATTTTGAAAGTGATGCCCATTTTCAACTTAAAAACTCTTTTATTTCCAAAGCAATAGTAATTTCGGTAGTTCTAATTGAAATTTATCTTATAGCAAAGGAAACTAAATTATTCTATAAAGTAAATAATATGTTAACCGAATCTTTCCTCACTTTAAGCCCAAAAATAGCAATGTTTAATTTTTAATTGAAATGGACTTGAACCACTTTTAAAATGAACAATCCAAATAAATTATAGTTAATTATAATAATTTCCAAATTTCTAAAATATTCTTTTATTTTTAACTACCTTTTGAATTGCACTTAACAATACCAATTTAAAATTAGATTAAAAATTGAAAATTAAACTAAATTTAAAATAAAAATGGGCAATATTTTCCAAGTTAAAGCAATAACATTTAAAATTAATCAATTTTTAAATAAATTATGAGAAATATTTAAAATTTTTAAATTAAAATTATTTGAAATTATACAAATTAAGAAAAAAACATTTTACATAATCCTTCCTATTAAATTACATTAATACAATTATAGTATATGACTAGACAGTAACTCTTTGGTTTAATTTTCAGTTTAAAGAGGTTTTTCTTTTGTTTCACATAAAAATATAAAATAAATTAAAAACACACGCACTATTTCGCCAAAAGCATATATATATATAGAGCCATTACAAATCTTTTTTTTAAAAATCCAAGTACAAATTTTCGTTTACGACATTTATTTTTTAATTTCTCAGAATTCATAATATGTATAATTATACAATTATATATTATGTTACATCGATTAAAATTTTCATAATAATTAATATAAAATTATTTACGACAAATAACTATTTAATTTATCATTAATTTATGAATTTTGTTTAATGAATTTTTGAAATTGTAATAAACTCTGAGAAATTGCATATTAAGCACATTACGAAAAACAAATATCGTATTTAAGAATTTACATATTTTGTGTAAATATACATACATATATATTTTCTTTTAAGATTTAATTAAAAATATTATTTTTTTTTTTTAAATAGAAAATTTATATATCTAGATTTACATTTCAATTTTGAATAAAAAAATAAAGAATATAAATATATTATAATTACATGTTATCCCTGAAGTTTATGAAATTTAATTTGATTTTTTTTTTATTATTACATAATATGTGCATTTTTTTTGGTTGTAAATTTCGTTTTCTTAGACCATAATAAATATGAATTTTTTTTTTTTATAAATTGTTTCTTTTTTTTTTTTTATTTTTTTTTTACTTATTTTCTCATAGGTTAAAAATGTTTCTAAAATATTTTCTTTTGATAATCTGGGAATGCTTCTCGTGGTGGTACTAAACTTAGCATCATTAAATGTCTTTCAAATGCTCGCGTTCGTCTAAACATTGAATCGGTACCATGCAAACGATCAAGGACACCCAATACTCCGAAACAATTATTAAATCTTTAAAATAAGAAAATTAAAGAAAGATTAAAAAAATTTTCAAATAAAATTAAAATTTTTACTTTAAATGATGGAAATCATGTGCTTCAGGACTCGGGAAAAATGGTAAGTGATAACCGGAATGTGCGTTTAATGTTGATAAAATAGCCAAAGCAAACCATAACCATGCAGTTGCAATATGACTTCCCAATACAAATGTTCCCAAAAATGGTGGTAATAAATTACTAAATATATGTTCAATAGGATGACAATATATTGCTGTAACGGCTATTGGTGCTGTCCATTCATGATGTTGTTTATGAATCAATTTATATATATGTTTACTATGTAATAAACGATGAGAATAATAAAATCCGATTTCCTCCATTAAAATACAAACTGCTAATTCAAAACAGACCCAATGAAAAGTTGGTAGTTCACGTATTGGTGCAAATCCACGAAATACCATTAATTTATATGTAACAATACCTAAAGGAATTCCCACAAAAAATTGATTAAAAACGACTTGAGCAACAACCTAAAATGGAATTTTATTTTTAATTGGTTGGTCTTTATATTTCAATTTTAATTTAATTTACATACCTTCATTAATCGTTTATTATCTACTGGTTCATTTGTACCAGGCTGAATTTTATATCTTCTCAAATATGTAGGCTTATTTGTTACATCCATAAAAGTGTATAAAAATCCGAAAAACCAGTACACTATAAATGTAAATATGTTTGTTCCAACTACCCAAAGTAAATATTGATCTTCTCCTGTAATATTAAAAAAATCATAAAAATATATTGTACCGAAAATTATGTTATAATTTTTGTCCCTGTAAAATATTACAGATTTTAATAAAAAAAAATATTGCATAAATTTAGGAAACTTCATGTTGTTACAAAAGAAAATGAATATGCAAATCCTTCTAATACGATATTTTGAAAATAACGGATTGGTATTTTAAATTCAAAATATTACCAGCAATATCAATAAATTTATCCCATTGCGCCTGCCAAAAATCTCCTGAGGCGCCCCAAAATCTTTGAAGGTACCTAAAATTCTCATATAAGTTTATATTCCTGCAAAAATAATAAACATATCGGAATTACCATGTTAAAGTGTTTCGAAATGTCACAAATCCAACCATAAAAGTAAATAAAACAAAAATAAATGTAAGAAATGAAGACAACCATCTCGGACGTTGTGCATCATGACTTTTTAAATCATCATCATTTAAATTCATTTTATCATCATCATTTGTCAAATTTCCATTATGATTTTGAGATTTTCCATCCATCTTTTAATGTAATCCTTGTACGGCCCCCACAAAAGGTTAATATACTACGAGCAAAAAATTTTTAACACAAATGTAACAAAGGAAGCCAAAGGTTATTCAAATCTGAAATCAATTTTTGTTTATTTTTTGCGTATTTTATTTTATACAATTTTAATCCACTTAAAAATGGATTTTCCTTTAATAGCATTAAAAGCAGCAGAAAAATTTAGATAGGTGCTCAACTTTGCCTTTTTCGAGAATTTAATTTTATTACGATGGTAACAAAAGAAAAAAGAAAAAAATTTGAAATATCGATAACTTTTTTTTTACGTTTTATCTACACCACCATGTAAAGGAATTTTTCTCTACAACCTTTAATCATCACTTTAAAAAAAATTATTGTTCCCGTTAAAAACTTTTTATGATTATTTTAATTATTTTCATTAAACTTTAAATTTTACTTTTAGAATATTATCTAGAATAATCGAGTTTCTTCCAAAACATAAAAAAAATTCTTTTGTTATTATTTTTGTTAAAAATATTTTTATTTTGCACTTTTTTAACACCTTTTGTTTATAAAATGTCAAAATGTTAACAGCTGACCCATAAAATTATTTTTGTGTTGATTTCATTCACAATAGTAAAGTATTTTTATAGAGAATTGTAATAAATTTGAATGTGTAAACAAAAGTAAACTTTGTAAAACCAATAAAATTATACAAGCAAATAATTCGTAAAGAAGAAAACGGTTCAATTATAAAATCATAATGTCAATAAGATTTATATTATTATATTCTTTGTTTTAGTTTTTATTAAGTCAACGAGATAAAGTTTAAAAAATAACCCAGTTTTCTTCTTTTGAAAAACTAATAATACTGCATTCTAAGTAAAAAAAAATTATAAAAACAAATGTCACGTAAAAAAAAATTACACTTTCATAGAACTAAAATCAAAGGATGAATGCCAGATTAAAATTAGTTTAAATTTATTAAAAAAAAAAACCTTGAAACCAAAAAACAACCCAATTATGTATTTGCATTATTGTCAAAGCATACGAGTATAACATGTAAAAAAAATTTTTTTTTAAACATGTAAAAGTTAAAATTTAATGCTGTCTCGTGAAAGGATCTAGTATTGTAAGTTAATATTAATATAAGTATTACGGGGAATTTATTTTGTCAATTCGATAAATATCAAATGCTATAACAAAAATCAAAAAAAAAAAACCATGTATTTTAGACTAAAAATACTGTAATTTTCAATTTTATATAATTAAATGTAGAAACAAATTTAATATTCTTCAATTTAAAATTGTTCCCTTTATAAAAAAAAGTCTGAAAACTGAAATTTAAAAATCAAACAAGTATAAAATAATTAGCGGCAACACTTAATTTAATATGTCAAATTCATTATTGACAATAAATTGTAAATGCAACGACGCATTTCCATTTCCAGCTGACATTTGTCAATTTTCATTTTTATCCAATTTGTTAGAAAAAGACATTCTAATTTTTTCAACCAGTAAGAGATAGCTAGACTAGCATATTTTTTGTACGTACCCTAAAAAAGAGGATAAAGAAAGAAAACTAAGGCAGCAAAAGCTGAAAAGTACTCATCAAAAGAAGGAAATTTTTTTTTTATTTTTTCCCTTCAGAAATGGACTAACAAAAAAAAAAAAAATATTTTTGCGTGGTATAAAATTCATTTAGTTTTATTTTTTTTAAATAATTCAATCTGTTATACCTTGTTAAAATTTGCAGTTTTAAGAAAATCAAAAACTTGAAACATTTTATTTTTAGTTTTAAAATAAAAGTGAGTGGTAAAATAAATTTTTATATAAAATTTATGAAAAGAAAAAAAATAAAAATTAAATGAAAGGAAGTATGTATGTATGTATATACACATGTAGGTACCTATATATGTACATACCTGCCTATCTATACCCTACATTTATATGAAATTGAAATAAAAAAAAAAAAATTTAATGTGATGCTTCCGTAATTTATAAAAGAAATGAAAAAATTTTAATAAAAATAAAAATGTTATATAAAGTATAACAGAAAGAGAAATTTTAATTTTCAGTGCATTCTTAGTTTTAGTTTAAAATAAGCAATAAAATTAATTTTTTTTTTTTAAATTAAAAGAAAAATTTTATTTTTCCAATAATTTGGCGAATGAGAAAGGAAAAAAATTTGCACCTATTCAAAAATAATTGAATGTGAAGACACAAAAAAAAAAAACTTGATTTGCGTTTTATTTTTGTTTCAAAAGAGAAAAAAAAGAAAAATTACAAAATAAAAGTAAAAATAAAAATTTTTTTTTTTCTAAGGGGTAAATAAAAAAAAAGGGAATGTAGGTTGTCGTTGGTAAGGTACGAAAAACATTGAGGTAATTTATTTTTTTTTTTCTTTTTCGAGCTACACATCCATACATACTTATATATACAAATGAAATTTATTATATTTTGCAAGAATTTAATATATGTACATAGATAGATAGCTGGTTAAAGATGAGGTGACTGATATATAGAATATAAAATATATATGTACAAAAATTGTGATATATATATAACAATAACAACAACAATGTATATATACCTAAGTATAATACATAATTTTATTATAGAATTAAAAATTAATATTGATTTTTGCTTCTTTCATCCTATTTGCTCCAAAAAGATTTCTTTGGAAAAAAAAAAAAATTTTTTGTGGGTTTGCAATAAATTTTTCTTTTGCTAAATAAATACATACATTTACTCACCTATATATACCCAAGATACGTAGATTTTATTTTTTGAACTAAATGAGGCTGTAAAAATACAAAACATTAAAATATTGTGAAAGATAAAAATTTTAATGTCCTATCCAGCATCATTATGTATGTGCATAAAAAAAAAAAAATCTTAATAAAATTTCTAAATAAACTTTATCAAGAAATTTTGGCAAAATATTTATGTGAGGAAATCCTTTAGTAGTTATCTACATACTTACCTACCTACCTACTTAAATAATGCATCCCTATAGCTATTCATCTTTTGATTAAATAGCATTTATAACCACTGGAATTTGACCCGCAAGATACTGCTTACTTTAAAAGAAAATTATTTTCAGTATTAGCTAGCCTATAGTTAGGTACTTAAAATTTTCAAATAATCGAGATTTAAATAAAATTTTTAAATTAGTTTAAATGTATGTATTTAGAATTCTAAATTATCTTAATCATGTAATTTGCGCTCACCGATGTCTCCTTTTTATGCTGATATTTAAAATTATTTTCATTCCATAGTTCGGGGCTCATTGATTTAGTTTCATGTGGTATCAGTATCTTGACTTATGCACTAAAATTCCATTTACTTACTGATTTAAGGGTATATATGTTTAAATTGTATGATTACTTACACCCATATGCCTATTACTTATAAGTTCATAAACTTCATTAACATTGTAACTACATTTTAGTTAGTAGGTACCTACTTACTTGCATTTGATTCAAAAAATCATATTAAAATAACAAATACCCGCACATACTCGTATGTGTATTTATAACGTGCCATGAATCTATCAATTGATTTTGTTTTGAGAAACAACACAAAAAAAAAACCGAGAAAACAAAAAAAATGAATTCCTAATTTGTTTTGACCCATATTTAGCACTTTAATAATTAAAGTACCAATGTAAAATGCCTTAAAAGAAAGAAACAAGTTTTCAGTCGTCGTATTAACATTTTAAACTAGCTATTTTGAAACAAAACTATAAAAAAAAAAAAATTAATAAATTTTGTAAACTCTTTCAGGTTTTTAACTGATCGGATAGGATAGTGTTGTCATACGGTTGTGAATTACTTTTATAAATGAATGATTGTTTGGAAACATTTCGAATTTCTCGATTATCATTTTCAAATATTCTCAATTTTCAAAATATTGAGATCTTGAAATCATTGAGACAAATATTAAGATGAGTAATACAATCATTTCGAAATTAATCAATGACTTCACCTTAAATATGAATTTTCGAGTCGAATATTAAACTCAAACACCTAAAATATAAGATATGGAGATGAATTCAAATTCTTGTTTTATGTACTTGCTTAGCTAATTATTTCATATATATTCCGTAAAGTAAAGTATATTTTAAAATGCAAAAACAAAATCCAAGTATTCCGTAAATTGAAACGATTTTTACCGATGGTATGATGTTTAAGCTAGGTTCAAATTTCAGCTTCTGTAGAGCATTTCCATCCTTTATTCATAATTACATCTTGCACTTGTAAGTTAAGATTATTTAAGTATTATTAAGTAGCTACCGCATTTAGTATTATCACCTGATTTCCATCATTTACACGTGGCAACTCTTCACAGATAGGTAATTTGTATTATGATTATTTTCGATTTTGGTTTTTTTTATTATTGTTTTTTTTTTATCATTTTATTTACACTGTAGACTTAAATAGACACTGTAGCAGATTAGAGTTGCCACATTATGTTGTCATACCATCTACATACTTATGTATCTGCAAAAAAAAGCTGTATTTTTTTGTTTCTATTTATTTATTCATTGTTTTTATAATGATTACAGTAGAAGTTAAACTAAAAGAATCGATTTTCGAATATGAAAAACTTACGTATTTTTCATAATTTCATTTGAGATAGTAGTTAAAACAATTGCAGGAGTGTTATTTATTTTAGTTTGTTACTTCAACTATGAGGATCAAATAAATTAATTATAATAAAATAAATTAATTATAACAGATATGCGAAACATATAGAAACAATTTTTGCCTGAAATTTCAATGGCAGGCAAATATAATAAGAGGCAAAGTTTTTTCATTCTGTAAGTAAAGAATTTAGTGATTTTAATTGCTTTAAAATTGCTGTAATTTTAGTACTTAATAGCTTTTTAGCTTATTAGTTCTTATTACTTTAATATTCTAATCAAAATTTGTTCCAAACCAGTTCAGTATACTTAGTTAGCGTATTGATTCTTCTTCGTCCTATTTCTTGATTAAATTCAACATGAATACTTATATTCATTAACATTACTTATATTCAACAGAATATTATATTCATTGTTAGAACGGATGATAGATAGTACATTCAACATTTTACATTTTTTCGAAAAATTGTCTTATTGGTTCGATAGATGTCTTATTTGGCTCAAAAATGTACTCAGTTTTTTTAAAGCCAATATTTTCGAAATTTACATTCGGTCATTGGAGACATCATTTTTACACGTGCACAACATAGTCAATTTTATCTAGCACAACATAAGTGTTTAACCTCGTTTAACCGTAATTGAGAATAGGCTGTGAATATAATTATGGGGTTTGCTTTTTTCTTCGAATAAAATTTGATCTCATTTACCGGTCATACATACTGAATGTAAAATACAGTTAATCCAACTTGTACAAAAATTAAAATTAAAACGAAACCTGCTTTTCCTATTTGGAAATTTTTCAGTGGGATGGCCATGTAAACTAAGCATCCAACCATTTTTAATTATACACTTACTGATTGTTCATTATACCGAATCCTAA